ATACATGTAGCTTCCCGGTTGCCCAGGCGGAGGAAAAAGGTCGTCTTAGGAGACCCCACCCATAGCCTTGGGTTATAATGACCTGACTCGCGAGGCAGCGGGGCTATTGGTGTGTACAGCAAACACTTGGGAGCCCGCTACCACAGTGAGAACAACACGGTTTTCGAGTAATAACGTACAACTCAGAACGCCCAATGAGCCTAAATTAAGCAGCATGGAGGCCAGGAGACATTACTTGGTCCACCGAACTCGCTGGCGACCACGAAGGCCGTTGACAGCCAGATGGCTCGCACACTTTCGTCCTTTGTTCTGAATGCTTCCTTTTGATTGTTTCACTGACGCATAAGTTTCTGGGATCGCTGATAGTGGTCAGCTGGAAGTCCACGGTACTTATCACCGCTTCTGCCTCCATATTCTGAGACCTATTGGTCGACCATGCTTCCGTCCATGCATACTGGTCTGGTTGTACTGTTTTCAAAACCTGCAGGATGTTTTCCACATATTCCAACAGGCTCACGGATCTCCCAGACATCCAGTGAATGGTACGATAACCACTTATAATGCCGCAAGCGGAGCCTTCAGCATCGTGAATGGCGGCCGAGATACTATTCCACTGAAGTCTAAAGTCCTTATAGCAGTTAGATGAAGCTTGGTATGCAGAATATCTTGATAGTTTTGCTTGGCTAAGGCTTGATATATCTTTTCATTAGCCAATCGAGGGAACGTTTGATACGCCTCCCAGTGGTTCGTAGAAAACCGGAGACAAACCAGGTCATAGTCAGAGTCGACGCACCTATACTAGAAAGAGACTCAGTGCTGCATGGAATTGCGCTACTTGAACTTATGACACTTTTTGCGCCTTAATACCACACGACTGGCCAAAGATTAGTGATCAGACAAACTCAGTATCCTGGCCCCCGCGGGCTAGTGGGTTTTAGTGAGGATGGCCCCTTACTCCATATAACGGACACTTTATGGCCCAGTACGCAGACCCCGCTGCTTTGCGGCCATCCTTTTGAACCAACGGCTGTGGTTGAGAACCCTATTCACTCTATCTAAGCCTGGGATATATATATATATATATATATATATATATATATATATATATATATATATATATATGGTTGGCGGCAACCGGTTTCGGATTTGCCTGTCACTGGGGCAAGGCACAGGACGCCTGCGCCTACAGAGGGACCATGGATGGCTTGCGCTGCACCACCCACAGCTCCAACCACACACCCCATATCCAGTGTAAAACCCGAAGGAATAAGACCGGGAGGTATGCGGATGGGAACCACGTTTCATCAACGGAGCCGGCCCACACTCCTTCACAGGCAAACACAAGCACACTGTATTTGGGAACCAAGCGCACACAAGGCGGTGGCTGGACCGTGGTCCTCTCCACACAGAGTGCATGGAACCACTCTTCGAGTCTAACACGGCCACAAGGACTGTGCACCCCGTCCCCTCCAGCAACGGCCAACTGGAGCCAGTATGGAGGAGGTAGTGGGTAATAGACAGGTAGGTACCTTGTCAACATGCACATCAAGCGCAGCCACACCGGGGATATTAAACAACAGCCAATCACTTGAGAGAGAGAGAGAGAGACAAAGCAAATAACTTGATTACTGCATATGGAAACAGTGAAGTAAACCTTAAGTTAATGAGCACATGAAATATGTTGTTTACAAACCAATCCTAAATAAGCGCACGAGGTCAGCAAGTATACTTTACGGAACGCCACGAACACAAAAATGTTATGGAAATCGAATACAATTGGCTTAAGCGTGGTTTGCAAGTTAACGTAGTAGAGTACAGGTAGATATATATATATGAGAAAGAAAAGCATTAAGGCAAAATTGAAAACCTACCACCTGAAATAAAGATACTTAGCATGCAAGCACGCGGTTAGTAAATCGAATGCAGCGGTTCTGCAGGACCCGTCGTCGCTTCTGTAGTGGTCCAGAGTGGCCTCGCTCATGGCTCACTAAACATTTATATGGGAAAGAAAAGCATTTGGACAAAACTGAAAACCCATCACCTGAAATAAAGAGACTTAGCATGCAGGCACGCGGTTAGTAAATCAAATGCAGCGTACCTACAAACGCTGCGCTGCTTCTGCCTACGTTCTCTGCAGGACCCGTCGTCGCTTCGGCAGTTGTCCCGAGTGGCCTCTCTCATGGCTCACTAAGCCTGCCTGACTCAGGCATACGCGACCGCATGTTCTACAGCACCATGCGCTTGATGTCGATGGAGTACAACCCATCGGGACTTGCCGCTTCTTCTCTGCATGCATGAGGGCTTTCTCCCGCACCTCGGCAATTGCCTTCGTGATCAGATCGCGCCATGCACACCGAGCAACCGTCTTCGATTCCCTTGATCTGCAATCAAGATTAGAACGTGTGAGGCTCACTTTAATCATATCCTGGTATCATAAATTCGGTTTCCCCACGTGCCGCTTCCCAATACTCAGCCGACCATATAATAGCTGCTTCGGTATCCGAGTCGAATCCATACGGCTCACATGATCGATCCACCTCAGGTGTTTCAATAAAAGTATGCAGTCCACTGCATACATCCCACTTCGGCGCAACACTTCCGTGTCTGCAACTCTGTCGCCCCAGCCGATGCGCGAAATCCGTCGCAGACACTGCTGATGGAACCGCTCGAGATATCGCACATCCCGACGGTACATCGTCCACGTTTCACTGCCGTATAGAAGAACGGACAGCACCATGGATTTGTACACCATCAGCTTCGTGCCAACGGTAAGCTGATGGTTGTTCCACTCTCAGTACTCAAGCTTCCCGAATGCCGCTGTCGCCTTCGACACGCGGATACGCAGCTCACTGTGTAGCCGCTGATCAGTTGACATCACACTCCCAAGGTAGCAAAAGCGGGAGATGGTTTCCAATACTTCAGCACGAATGCTGCTTCGCTCCAATATTGAAGATTGCACTTACGGTTAAGGCTGAAAGATACAGACAGTTTTGCTTGTGTTGATGGTTGTCCGAATTTGCCGCTGTCGAAGCCAGAGCACTAGTCATGTGCTGCAACTCATCCGCGCTGTGTGAAAACAACGCACAGTCGTCAGCAAACAGCAGCATGCGGATAGTTGTCTCACAGACTAGAGTTCTCGCACCGAAACGACGGATGTTCAGCAAACCACCATCAATACGGTGCTCCACACGAACACCGTAAGCACAAGCGGCATCAAAAGCACAGGACAACATTGCATGAAGATATATATTAAACAGGGCAGGAGCTAAGACACAGCCTTGCTTCACACCAGAGACAACTGCAAAGTCATCCGAGGTCTCTCCACTCAGCTGCACCCTCGCTCGCATACCACTGTGCAGACATTCAATTAAACTTACAAATTTACGCGGGCAACTAAACTTACCTAACACCAGCCACGATGCCTCGCGGTTCACCGTATCAAATGCTTTGGTGAAATCAACAAAAAGCGAGTACAATGGCTGGTGTCGTTCTCTGCACTTCTCTTGCAACTGACGAGCCACAAACACCATATCTATAGTGCTGCGACCAGAACGGAATCCACATTGCTCTTCCGCCACGTTAGGTTCCACAACCTGACTCACGAGGCGGTTGATCAGGATTCGGCCAATCACCTTGCCTACATAACTCAGCAAGTTGATGCCACGATAATTCGTGCAACATTGCTTACTCCCTTTGCCGTTGTACAGTGGTAGCACAAGGACGTCCTTCAGCTCAGAATGCACCTCATCAATCCATACGCGTTGCACCAACTGATCCAGCGCAGTCAACAACGCGGGTCCACCATGTTTCAATACTTCAGGTGGGATTCCGTCGGCTCCGGCACATTTGCCGTTTCGCAGCTAAGCAAGTGCTCTCTGCGTGTCATTCAATGTCGGCGTGTCCGCCAGATTCACCCTCATATCGTGCTGCTTGAGGCCGTTCAATGTAGGCCAGTCGATCTCTGAACGGTTGTTCATGAGACAGTCAAAGTGTTTTCGCCAGATCTGCATTATGTCTGCAGTCTGTGTGCAGGTAGCGCCTGAACTACCATCGATCAGTGTCCTCAGCGGCTCCAATCTCGGTCCATACACCGCCTTCAAGGAGTCAAAGAATTCCTTGTGTTGGCGGCGTTCGGCGTAGCATTCCATCTGCTTCGCCTTCTCCGTCCACCATGCATTTTTAATGCGACGGAGCTCTCGGGTCAGTCGCCGTCGAAGTTTGCGAAACTGACTACTCTTTCCCAAGTTATGGGGTCTGCAGCATGTGCAGCAAATGCTGCATTCTTCTCTGACACCAATGCGTCAATCGTCACATTGTTGTCATCAAACCAATCAGGCCGCTTACAGTTTACTCGCCCGATGGTCTCCTCGGCAGCAGCTGTCACCTGGTCGCGAATGTGGTGCCACAGGTCGCCCACTGTGGCTATACAGTCCACATCACCACACAGGCGTGCAGCCATCGCCTTCTCCAGCTCAGTACGTTTCGCCACAGTACCGAGGGAGAGAATGTTAAATTTACGCCTATTCACGGCGGGAGTGCATTACATCGATTTACGAAAGTATATGTACAGTTTGGTCCGCACCAATTTGTGATCAGTGCCACACTCAGCTCCACGCAGTACATGTGTCATGCGCACTTCACGGATATCACGCTGACGTACGATGACATAGTCGAGCAGGTGGGCGTGACCACTCCGTGGGTGCGTCCAAATTGCTATATCACTCGCACTCAGTGCAAACCGAGTGTTCGTGATCGTCAGGCCGTGAGTGGCACACAGTGAGAGCAGCCTGTCACCGTTCGCATTCGCTGAGCCAATGCCATGCGCACTGATTACATCTGTCCACGCTGATGCATCACGCCCAACGCGCGCGTTGAAATCACCCAGCAGAAATAGTCGGTCACGTCCTATCACAGACCGTATCACGGAGAATAGCTCAGTGAAGAACTGATCACGCATGTCATCAGGATAACACACGTGCTTATAAAAGTAGCAAACTTACTTCTTCCGATTCGTAGGCGAATAGTCATCAGCCGCGCGCTGATGCCCGTTGGTTCACCCACCAGCTGGCCATTCAGGCGGTCGGATATTGCAAATCCGACCCCATGTTCACGTGGTGCTGAGGCGGCGTTGCCCACCCAGTAGAATGTGTAGCCAGCACCTGCTTCATGCAACTTACTTTGCTTAGCGAGTCGAGTTTCACTGAGCGCCGCAATATCGATGTGGTAGCGCGCCAGCTCCATTGCGACCAGTGCAGTGCGTCGCTCGAGGCGCTCGCTGGAGTTCCGGTCCAGTAGTGTGTGCACGTTCCAACACCCGATGCTGAATGCTTTGCGCGCAGGCATACGATTACATTGGTGGGCAATCGCACGCGAGGTGGTCGTTGTGCTTCGGAGGTTTGCTTGAGGGACTCCACTCGGAGCATTTGACTCAATAGCCTGACCCACAAGGCAGTGGGTGATTTGGAGGTTTGCTTGAGGGACTCCACCCGGAGCCTTTGGCTCAATAATCTGACCCACAAGGCAGTGGTGAGCAGATCCAGCCCGGGAATGTGATTGCAGAGACAGATAGGGATCTGCTTGACGGCCGTCACACGCAGTCTTTGAGGTTCTGGAACGTTTTATATATGTTTTGTGACCGTAGTAGAAAACGCACCTGCGACCACGGCCAGACGCAGATGGGTTTTGGCGGGTTTGCACCAATTTGACCAGGGGCTGCTTGGCTTGAGGCGGGCAGTAGCAAACCATTGAACGCCCGGAGGTATCCTCCCACCGTCAGAGACAATGCGTGGCGCTCGTGCTCTACGCCAATCGCGCTGTGAGCTTATAACCCGTAGACCTGTTGTCTCCGATGGCTAGGTTTTACGGGAAGAGGGCCATCGACCACTTCCTAACCTCCGAAGAGGAATATATATATATATATATATATATATATATATATGGTTGGCGGCATCCGGTTTCGGATTTGCCTGTCACTGTGGCAAGTCACAGGACGCCTGCGCCTACAGAGGGACTGTGGATGGCTTGCGCTGCACCACCCACAGCTCCAACCACATACCCCATATCCAGTGTAAACCCGAAGGAATAAGACCGGGAGGCAAGCGGATGGGAGCCACGTTTCATCAACGGAGCCGGCCCACACTCCTTCACAGGCAAACACAAGCACACTGTATTTGGGGAATCAAGCGCACACAAGACGGTGGCTGGACCGTAGTCCGCTCCACACTGAGTGCATGGAACCGCTCTTTGAGCCTAACACGGCCACAAGGACCGTGCACCCCGTCCCCTCCAGCAACGACCAACTGTCTCCTGGAGCCAGTAGGAACGAGGTAGTGGGTAATAGACAGGTAGGCACCTTGTCAACATGCACACCAAGCGCAGCCACACCGGGGATATCAAACAACAGCCAAACACTTGAGAGAGAGAGAGAGAGAGAGAATAGAAAAAGAGAAAAACTCGATTAATGCATAAGGAAACGGTGACATAAACCTTAATTAAATAGCATACGTAATAAGTTGTTTACAACAAATCCTATCTAAGTGCATGAGGTCAGGAATTATAGTTCACGGAGTGCCACGAACACAAAAATGTTATGGAAATCGAATACAATTGGCTTAAGCGATGTGTGCAAGTTAATGGAATAGAGTACAGGGAGATATTTATATGAGAAAGAAAAGCATTAAGGTAAAAACTGTAAACCCACCACTTGAAATAAAGAGACTTAGCATGCAAGCACGCGGTTAGTAAATCGAATTCAGCGTGCCTACAAACGCTGCGCCGGCTCGTCGTAATTCTCTGCAGTACACGTCGTCGCTTCTGTAGTGGCCCCAAATGACACAGCTCATGACCCACGTAGACATTTATATGAGA